AAATTTTGTTGTTTCTTGATAAAAAAAAGTCAAAAACCATGACATACATATATTTCAGTTAGATTGCAAAACATCAAAAAAAAAAAAAGATGTCACACATAAATTGTAGTCAACTGAAATTAAAATCTAAATACTTATGTTTATCTAAACAATGCTATATTTATTACAACAGAAAAAGTTGAATAAATAACTTCCAAGTAGAACATTAGTAGTATTTTTTGAACAAAAGATCCTGTATGCCATACTCAACCTGAAGAAACAGAACTCATCCCGTCTGGAATTATGAGCACTCATCCTGACTCCCCAACCATGTGGGCAAAGTAAATTCTAATTGTCCCCGGAATTATGGGGAAGATGTAAAACAAACTGTGCTCAACCAAGGACTCAGAATTGGACCACTCTGAGTCCAGGATTACGAGGAGACAATGGACTCTCTTCCACGAACAATGTATTGAATCAATACTGATAATAAAGAAGGACCATGATCAAGCCAACCAGATAGCCAGGTGTCAAATCTGAACCAGTATTATGAGTAGGATCCCATGTAGGTTGGTGTATCTCATACCAACAACTGGGAAAAAACATCCAGGGACCCAGTTAGGAGGGCCCCACACTTCGACCTCTTTTCCAAAAGTGGAGAAAATTCACTCTAACACTGGACAAAAAGCCTTTGTCTGCCAGCCCAATGACTGGAAATTGGGTGTGGTAAGGACTCTCTAGCTCCACTAGTAGAATCTAGGGGGTAATGCATGTTGGGGAGTCCTGAAGAACAGTGCAATAGGTGAACCAAGTTCCCTAACTTTTTAAAAGCAAACTGACCATGATTACATGAAACATGTTCCTTAGCAAAAGATTAGCAGAGGCCTAAATATACTAATGTTTTTAATTTTTTCTTCTAAAGCTATGATGAAAAACTAAAACATACTAACAGTAGTTCTTATGAATGGTCATTTGCAAACGAGAATTTTGTTTTATATTTTGTAATGAGTAATGCAGAGTTTGAGGTGACAGTATAGAAAACATGACTGCATGAGCTATTACATTACTTTAAACACATCTTATCTAACTGAGCACTTACATGCTGCTATAAAAGTTTATACTCTTTATTTTTATTTCTTAGGTGAGATAATGAAAAATAATACTAATTCTTCATGAAGTATGCTCACTAGCAGCTTGTGTGTTACATCATTCAATATGGTAATATGACCTACAGATTTGCCAAGTGATTTACAACCTCTGTGGCAAGAGTATTAGTTAGACATAGGACAAAGGTAATACAATACAATTAAGTATAAACAGATGTATACTGTTATGATCTTTAAGCTATTTAGGATAAACAATTGTAGCTTCATATTACAATTTGCAATCTTTCTAGAAAGAAAAAAGGAGGGCAATTTTGATTTATTTTGTATTTCTTCATGGTGGTTACAAGGTCAGTCAAATTGACTAAATGCATGTAGAATTAGGGTAGAGAAAATAACAGATAAAGTTTTACTGGAAAAAGAAATGTTTGATATTTATTTAGGTATTTAGGAGGTTTTAGAGATTATGCAAATGAAATTTGACAATTTTCAGATGAAGAAAAGTATTTTTAATCTTAGCATGAAAAATCCCTTTGCACTTAGAGCAATCGACACTGACTCCATATATTCACCGACAATTTCTTGTAAAAATACTTAATTAATAAATTTAATTTTCTGTGTACAAAAGACTTGTAATGTTTATTGAAAGCTTGACACATTTCATGAATATAAACAAAACATATTAATATTATTGTATAGAAACTCTAATGATTACTTTAGGGTTACAAAGTCAGTCGCATTAACCAAGCCTGTAGCAAGAGGGTTAATAACTAACTAACTAAAGCTCTATAGATAATGTTGATAACACCATGTACAATACCAGAAGTTACAAAGATAATTAAACAACCTATTTCTGGGATCACACACACACACCACAGTTTAAACAGTTTCCTCATAATCAAACTATCACCCTACTTCTAACATGAATATGCTGGAAAACATAATTAAGTCATCAAATTTGTGATATTTTTTCTTTCTTGTTTACTTCACCAATATATTTGGTAAAACCTACCTGCTTAGAAACTATTCTTGTTCCAAAGAAATAAAGATGAATACCGAGATGATGCAATACACTGAATAACCAAGCACTGATGAATGATTTAAAGAGCTGGTAAAACAGTTCTTTATCAAACATTAATGGCAGAAAAACTTGCAGGATTATTATTTCCAGAGACAATTCACTCACTAGTTCCTCACTAAAAAAATCAAATATAAAAAGGTTTTTGTACCATAACCTCTGGTATCTCATCATTTTAAATATTGAACACTCCATACAGTAATATACTTCATAAAAGTAACACTTTCTCTTTCCTAAACAGACAGTGATTCATAGAAAAATATATTTTTTTCAGTATACACACACACACACATGTACATTGTGCCTTTTGGTTTTACACCTTGAAAGTACTATTTAAACTTGAAAATTGAAAAAGAATTGACCTAATTTAGGTAAACTACAAGCTTTAGTTAGATTATTTTCTCATTCAGTCTACTGTATTCAAGTGTGTGTAAAACACAAAACATCTTACATTCAGAAAGGAAATAGTATTTTCAATTTGAAATGCACTTTGTGTGTATGTGGGCTAAATAGCTACATCAGAGACCCCTAGCATTCATATCCAACCATCCCTAGTTTTGAACAGCTGACCATAGGAAAGCAAGTAGTATTCCCCATTAAAAAGGTTTGGTCTAACTCTTTGAACCAAACAGTATTTACTGTCCCTTTTATAATTAATCCAGCATACATTTAAAATTAAGTAAAAATAAATTATTTACACATCTTATTTTGCATGACAAATTAGTTACAAGTAAAAAATATAACTTGTACTTAATAAACTAATCAGTTGTTTAATTGTTAATAGAAGAATACCGTGTATATTCTCTATTTAATAAACTAGATTCTAATAATCTGTCTACTACTAAATAAACATTTGATGTATATCCTCTACATTTATATAATAAATAATGCTTTAATGAGTTAACTGCTAATATGTATAATTATTGTACATGTATCATTTATTTGATAAATTAGAGCTTAATGAGTTGTTTATTCACGTAAAAACATTGTGTGTGTGTTGTATATTATACATTTTATAAGCAATGTTGTTTACTAACACACACAGACAGTACTTGTGTGTCCTCTATTTAAAAAATTAGTATGTAGTAAGTTGTTTTCTACTGAACATTTTTATATAGCTGGTAGAATTCTGTTGCAGTTTGTAGATTGATGGAAGGCACTATACACATGATACTAAGTCATCCGTTATACAGGTAACATATCTAAAAAACATTTACAAAAGTTTGGGGAGACTATAAGACTTAACTGCATAAAAATAGTCACTTATAAACACTGATATAACAGTATAATGTACCTCTTCTGCACATGAATGCTATACTCACCTAGAAAGTGGTATACAGAAAGGTAGGACTGTAGGTAAATACTTAGTAATAGACCAAGCAGGGAAGCAGATTATCAGCCATGTAACAGCCACATAAAGAGTGAAAAACACAAACACTTCCTTTACTTCCTTGAAAACTGATGACATTATGAACTGTAAAAATAATATATAAATGGATTTTCTATGTAACTAAACTCAACTGTAATAAAATAACATAAATAGATACCAACTGAAAATGTAGTGTCTATGATATTCAGATTTGTAAAATGTCACTAACTACACTCAGTAACATTTAGATCCTGAAATTTATTGCATATCCACATTATAAACACCAAGACAAATGCATTATATCAAGATTCAAATAAAACCAAACTAGCAATGTTTACTAACTTACGTTATGTACTGCAGAGTACTCCAAGTCATACAGTGATGGAAGATATCGGCTAGATTTTTGTTGTAGTACATCACGCACTAACACAATGAAGGAAGAGAAGATGTAAACCACAGTAAAACCCACCATCCAGTAAACCAACACAGATAACTTTGGAGAAGACTTGAAGCTATTTTTAATATCTTGGGAAGTTCTACCAATCACAGACTGAAAAAATAAAAGAACAGGAAAATTAGGGTTTAGTAACATCAATTAAGTTTGTCGTAAGTCACATTTTCCCTCTTAAACCCTAAAGAAAGAATCTAAGTTTCCAAAACGTATTCAGTTATTGAGTTTCTTTAATTGTGATTTACAAATAAAACATTCAAAGCAATAAAAAAAAACTTTCACCATCAATAGTATTACATTTTCTAATCAATTACAGATGTTAAATATCAAAAGACCTATTAAAACTTCTACTACTGAACATATAAGAACATGTATTTTATGAATTTGAATAACCCTAGATTTAATTTAAAATTAATTTATATCCAATTCTGTAGAAATACATCATATTGTAGTAAAGTTTCAATATGGTTAAACCAAACCATAATCCTGGTATGTCACTGGTTTCATGTTGATAAAAAACACTTTTTTCATTGTGCTAACAGTTATAAAAAATATGATAACCCAACCTACATTACTAGTTCTATATCAGTATGGAATACAATAATATGTTAATAATATACATGATAAGAAATTGAAAGCAAACTATATTAATAATTTCCAGTTATCAATAATATCACTGTAATGCTTCTAAGATAGTAAAAGCACTGCAGTAATTATTACACTTTAGTCCAATAAATATTGTTAATAGTTTGTTTTAACAGAAAAATACACAATTATGTCTGCAAAAAAACTATACATTTTTATATTAATTCCAATTAGTAAAAACAGATTAATTTATATCAACAGTTCTATATCAGCAAAATATTGTATTAATAATTTGAGGTTAACAGAAACTACACTACAAGCTTTGATATAGAAAACAAACAACCAGGAATTACCTAAAAATTTTGTCTATTTGCTTCTTATTATAATTTTGACCAACAGTCTGTTTTGTTTTCAATTAAACAGACATTTGTTTTTAACTAACCGTTTTCATCTTCTGTATATTAAATTTTCAGCCTTACTTACTCAAAAGTTTCATCTTACTACCAAATCATAAAACACAATCACTGTTGACATTTAAAGCTATATGTTTAGATATATCTATAATACAATGATCTCCTTCTTGTACCTGTTTTCCTTTCCACTCTAACATGGTTGTACATCAACCAAATGGGTGATGTGGTTGTAACTTACATATCTTTCAACAATCAATTCTATAAACAGTAAATTTCAGTATCTTACTTTTCCACACTTCATAAATTGGTTTAACAATGAAATACACATTAAGTTGGATCAAAATAATTAAGAAACAACATTTACATATTAGAAAAACTAGGATAAAACTGTGTGAAATTATGTATATGGAATAAATATTTAAAATGTTCTTCTTGAATTAATGGTAAAATTAATCAAGCAGGAAAAAAATAATGTAATTTACGAAAATCCATTCATCATTGTAAATCATAAAAAAGAAAAATATATACCTGGAAAATAAGAATCAAATCTTCTAGTTTTTCTAAAAGGATTTACCTTTTTTTGTTACAGTGACACATCAGTTCTATCTTAAAATGGAATATATTCATGTTAAGATAAAAAACATTCAAATATTCACCTCCCCTTTTCTTACATTGTATAAAAATATTACAAATTCCATTGGTGTATCTAGATGGTAAGAATTTCATGTTCACATGCATAACCCAAGCTACTTCTCCCTAAATGGTAGGTGTTATATGTTTACATGTATAACTTCTGGTGAAGTCCACATGAAGAGAAGGAGAGAGATGGATAAGGGCATCCAAGGGATCTTGAACGAGGTTTCACTGATCTTGTAAAGCCCACTGAAGAAGTCGCATGTGGGTTCCACCAAGGGGAATGAGGGCTTCCAAAGAGGACAGTACTTCCAATCAGGAGTATCAGCCTTCCTCAGATGACTCAAGGAAATGTCACAGGCAGGGATGGTAATAAGTCATGGCGGAATGGGCTGATCATTGGGGACAGCAATGTCATCCAATGCCAGACCCAATTGAGCCTGGATATGAAGGCCAAAGGGAGGAATTGCAGACCATCTGTTCTGAAAGAGCATGACCCACTGAGAAAGAAAGACACAATCCCAGGTGGGATGTCATGGTAAGGATCAAAGCTTGGTAGCATATTGTAGAGAAAGTTGCAAATGACGGAGGTGAAGAGGACGTTCATGGGACTCAGTGTACAAACTATGGACTGGAGAAGTGCAAAAAGCCCCGGTGCAGAGCCGAAGCCCCAAATGGTTAATGAGGTCCCTCATCTTCAAGGCCGAGGTCCTGGCAGAACCATAGACCAAAGACTTATAGTCCAGTTTGGATCAAATCAGGGCACAATAGATCCTGAGTAGAGAACATCGATCCATTCCCTAAGAGGTGGAAGAGAGGACACAGTGGATGTTCAGAGTCCTTGCACACTTGACACGTAGCTGCTTGATGTGTGGAATGAAGGTAAGCTTACGGTCAAAGATAAGCCCCGAGAACTTTGCCTCAGGGACCACATGAATAACAACATTGCTGAGACGGAGCTCGGGATTGGGGTGGACACCCTGTTGGCGGCAAAAATGCATGCAAACGGTTTTTGAAAAAGAAAATGTAAAACTGTTTGCAGTGGTCCATGTCAACAACCGATT